CATACTTTGAGCTCTTCAAAAGAATCTATATAAATCCAAGGCTTCTCCTTATAATTCTTGTTTTCTTTGAACCTGCTGAAGTTTAAATCCCTGTAGCAGTGCCAAGCAGGGGGGCTCCCAACAGACCTCTGCTGTTTTAATAAAAGGAAAAGAAAAAAGGGGAGATAAAATAATGAAGGGCCATGAGAAGTGACACAATTGTGAGATTCTAGTGTATTTGCTGTGGAAAAAAATAGTAATATAGAAAAAAGTAGTCACTAAAAGCTTAGATTTTGTCAGAAAAATGTGACCTTTTTAGATGTTATTATATTTAAGGCATTATTTGCTTGCAGTATTTAAAGAAATGTTAGATTTATAGGTATATTTTCATTTGTTTTTAAGAATTTACATCTCAAATATAATAATGGGAACAACACTGTGATTTAAATTTACACAATGCCAAATATAAAATAAAAATGTTCTAATCTCTGTAGGTAGTAAAATCACAAGAGCTGTAGGAGAACTGTATCATTATATGAAGTCATAGAAATCCTGGTCTTATTATTTTTAAAACTTTGATCTATCCAGCCAAATAGGTTAATAAAATAAGAGACTCAGGGTGGATTTCTCTTCCAGTGAAAAGCCTAAAAACAGAATACAGTTGGATAATTCTGAACCATTATAAGATTAAAGAGCTGTCTGCAGCTTAAAGACAAGTTTTATCCACATAAAGATCTACCAGGGTGGCAATGGATGCCTGGCTTGCCATGTTAGTGACATTTCTTGAAAGAAAGGATCATGATTAGAATTTCTTGGTTAAATCCTATTGGGAAAGTGAATATTCTGATAGTTTTGCTCACAAAAGCAAAACTAATGCTCCCTCATTGAAATTGACCAATATAGAGGATTAAAGACAGAGGGACTCATAAATTCTGCCTGCAAATGGATACTAGTTTTATGTTTGTGATGGACCGTGTATTTGATACTGTTAAGGCACAATGCTCTACACTGAATATTTTAAATTAACTATGCAATATCATATCCTACCACAAAATTTTAATTTCAACTTCTAGCTTTTTGTATTTTTCTGTATAATCAGACTCATGACTTTAATAAACATATTTCTATATTTTTCTTCAGAATCACCAGGAAGAAGTCCTATGTGATATAAGCTTACTGGTAGATTGCTGGTCAATCAATATTATGATATAAGGTAAAAGATATTTGCAATAAGATATTTTGTTATATACCTGCTGAGTTTGAATTTTATTTTTTATAAGTGTATGTCTGACTCATGCTGTTTTTAAATGTTATCAATCTATCTATGTCCTACTTTACATATAAGTATATATAATTATATATAATATATGCATCCTACATATCCTACACATACACACACGTGTGTGCGTGTGTATATACACATATATAAGCATGCATATAGGCTGTTTAACACAGTGGTTGAAATCTATTATTCAAAACCAGCATTGAATCCCAAGAATTCTGAGTTTCTCAGAGAAAAGGAAAGAACAAGAAACCTCCTAAATTCTCAAAAGACTATACACCAAATGTTCCCACTAATCATCACACAGGATCTTCCAATTGTCTAGTTGCTTTCATAGCTCTACTCTTCCTGACATCCTCTACACCAGCACCTGTTCCTCAAGTACCTGCTGTGCTGGAATGCTAGTGCCTGATGACAACAGAAACAGAAAGAATACCTCTTCCTTATTCTGACAGAAAGATATGTAGATTATTCACCGGAAGCAGGCAGATAACTTGAAATATTAAAGGTGGGTTGCTTTTTTCTTCTGTACAATACTCCAAACATGAAAGCTGGGAAAATCTTATCAGATCCTAAATCAATTATTTGGAGGACACAGCATTAAGTGTAAAAGTAAACTGGCTGAAACATAGTTTGACAGCACAAAACGCGTTTTTATTCCCCATAGCTGGAATGAGATGAAGCTTGCTGACAATAAGTAGATAGAGGTAATGAGGTTCTTTTTGTTTGTTTGTTGTTTTAAGAAAACAGAGGAAATAAATACAGTGTTTGGTTCCCATTCACTGGGTCCCAACCCTCTGCTGCCACATGGATGAGGGTCAAGATTTCTCTCAGGGGCCTAATGCCAACTCATCCCTATACAATTGGAGAAGAAAGCTCAAGTTAATGGCATAATAACGCAAAGAGCTAAGACATGTTTCACCTGTGAAAAGCTGGTTCCCACACCAATAAGGGTATTAAAAGTGGCCCATAAGGACAAAGGAGACAAAGGCATAGAGGGGTTTCATATGCTTATTATGTTTCAGCCATCCTGGGCATCTCTAGTTTCCATAATGATACCATGCTACTTCCAGTTTTGGTCTTTGCGATGGCTGTTCCTTGTGTTCAAATGCTTCTCCTGCATTTTAGATGAATAGATATTTATTAGTACTCAGTTTCAGCTTAAGAAAGTATCCTCTTGGCTGGGCATGGTGGCTAATGCCTGCAATCCCAGAACTTTGGGATGCCAAGGAAGGTGGGTGACTTGAGGTCAGGAGTTCAAGTATGGCCTGGCCAAATTGGTGAAATCCCATCTCTACTAAAGATACAAGAATCAGCCATGCTTTGTGGTGAGTACCTGTAATCCCAGCTTCTTGGGAGGCTGAGGCAGGAGAATTGCTTGAACTTGGGAGGTAGAGATGTCAGTGAGCCAAGATCACACCACTGCATTCCAGCCTGGGTGACAGAGTTACTCCATTTAAAAAAAAAATGACTTTTGTCTCCATTGCTTTTGGTGTTTTAGTCATGAAGTCTTTGCCCATGCCTATGTTTTGTACTGCCTAGGTTTTCTTCTAGGGTTTTTATGGTTTTATGTCTTATGTTTAAGTCTTTAATCCATCTTCAGGTATTTTTTGTATAAAGTGTAAGGAAGGGATCCAGTTTCAGTTTTCTGCATATAGCTAGCCAGTTTTCCCAACATCACTCATTAAATAGGGAATCCTTTCCCCATTGCTTGTTTTTGTCACATTTGTCAAAGATCAAATGGTCGTAAATGTATGATATTATTTCAGAGGCCTTTGTGTTCTGTTCCATTGGCCTATATATCCATTTTGGTACCCATACCATGCTGTTTTGATTATTGTAGCCTTGTAATATAGCTTGAAGTCAGGTAGTGTAATGACTCCAGCTTTGTTCTTTTTGCTTAGGATTATGCTGGCTATATGGGCTCTTTTTTAATTACCTATAAAATTTAAAGTAGTTTTTTACTAATTCTGTGAAGCAAGTAAATGGTAGCTTGATGGGGATAGCACTGAATCTATAAATTACTTTTTGCAGCATGGTCATTTCCATGACATTGATTTTTCCTATCCATGAGCATGGAATGTTTTTCCATTTGTTTGTGTCCTCCCTTATTTGAGCAGTGGTTTGTAGTTCTCCTTGAAGCGGTCCTTCACAAAGGGGATCTAATTAAACTAAAGAGCTTCTGCAGCAAAAGACACCATCATCAGAGTGAACAGCAAACCCACAGAATGGGAGAAAATTTTTGGAAACTATCCATCTGACAAAGGGCTAATATCCAGTTTCTACAAAGAACTTAAATTCATAAGAAATAAAACAACCCCATCAAAAAGTGGGCAAAAAAAAAATGAACAGACACTTCTCAAAAGAAGACATTTGTGTGGCCAAGAAACATACGAAAAAAAACCTCTTCATCACTGATCATTAGAAAAATGCACATTGAAACCACAATGAGATACCATCTCATGCCAGTTAGAATGGTGATCATTACAAAGTAAGGAAACAACAGATGCTGGAGAGGACTGTTGGTGGGAGTGTACATTTGTTCTACTATTGTGGAAGACAGTGTGGCAATTCGTCAAGGATCTAGAACCAGAAATTCCATTTGACCCAGCAATCCCATTACTGGGTATATACCCACAGGACTAGAAATCATTCTACTATAAAGACGCATGCATAGGTATGTTTACTGAAGCACTGTTCACTCACAATAGCAAAGATTTGAAACCAACTCAAATGCCCATCAATGACAGGGTGGATAAAGAAAATGTGGCACATAAACACCATGGAATACTAGGCAGTCAGAAAAAAGGATGAGTTCATGTCCTTTGCAAGGACATGGATGAAGCTGGAAACCATCATTCTCAGCAAACTAACACAGGAAAAGAAAACCAAACACTGCATGTTCTTACTCATAAGTGGGAGTTGAACAACGAGAACACATGGACACACAGGGAGGGGAACATCACACACTGGAGCCTGTTGAGAGGTGGGGGCCCAGGGGAGGAATAGCATTAGGATAAATACGTAATGCAGATGACAGGTTGATGCGTGCAGCAAACCACCATGGCACATGTACACCTATATAACAAACCTACATGTTCTGCACATGTATCCCAGAACTTAAAGTACAATTAAAAAAAAAAGAAAAGAATCCTCTTGCAACCCAATGTAAGTATATGCCTTGTGTGTACAATACTGTTTCACTTTATTGTTCAATGTAACACCAACTCTCTTAACTGAATCCTTAACAAGAGCAATACCCTCACTATGTGGTTCATGAGTCATGCCCAGTTTTCAAGTGATATCTAATATAAAATATTCACTCTATGAATATTTTATGAATTCATAAATTTAGCAGATACGTGCAGATATCTATGCCTTTCAAATTGAAGGCAAAGATCAATGTTCTGCTAAATATCAAGCAGCTATACCTTTGAGAAAAGACTGTGGCGTCAATAGAAAGGTTCTTAAAAGTGGCAGAGATTGATGAAGATTTTATATACGGTTAACTCTCAGATGAACAGCAGCACTTTCTAAATCAGCCGGAAGTTAGTAATTCTGCAAAGGCGGAGTTTCACCCCTTCCTCGTTTCATGTATCGCCCATGAGGAAAGGACTGGGAGCCCTGCCGGCCACACCTTTCCTTTCTTCCGCGGCTCCCCCCGAAGCCGCAGGCCGGGCCCCATCCCAGCACCATGAGCTTTGGCTGGGAGCACTACCTGCGCTCCTCTTCCTCCTACCTCAAAGTCTTGGGGATGGCTCTCGCCTGTCCGTGCCTCTCCGGGTCAGCGGCGCTGGCAGCTTCCGCTTGCAGTCGGTGTCCGCCTCATCGTGGCCTCCTCGATCAACTGCTCCTCGGCCACGTCGCTCGGCCTCTGCCTCGGCCTGGCCCATCGCCGGCTACCGGCGTCTGACCGGCTGCACCTAAGCCAGGCGGCAGCGCTCACCAACGAGTACAAGATTAGCCACACCAACGAGGAGCAGCTGCAGGCCCTCAACGACCGCTTCACGGGGTTCATCGAAGGTGCATCAGCTGGAGACGCAGAACCACGCGCAGGAGACCAAGCGGGGCCCAGCACGCCGAGCCGTCGCGTATCAGCGAGCTCTTCCGCTTTGCGCGCGCAACTGCAGGAGGCGAGCTTGGCGCATGCGCAGGCCCTGCTGGAGCGCTACTGGCTGGCCAGGAGGTGCAGCTGCGGCGAATGCATTGCGAGAAGAGCTGTGGACGCGAAGGCGTGGAGCGCGCCTTGAAGGCGCAAACAGCGCGACGTGGGCGACGCCACGTGGACGGCGGCACGCTGGCTCGCCTGAACCTGGAGTAGAAGGTGGAGTCGCTGCTAGACAAGCTGGCCTTCGTGCGCCTGGTGTACCACGAGGAGGTAGCCAAGCTGCTGGCTATGCTTCAGGCGTCATCACAGGCCGCGGCCGAGGTGGACGTGGCTGTGCCTAAACCAGACCTGAGCTTGCTGCTGAGGGACATTCGCGCCCAGTATGAGTCCCTGGCCACTAAGAACCTGAAGTCCTTGGAGTAAAGTTACAAGTTCAAGTTTGCCAACCTGAAGAAACAGGTGGCGCGCAGCACCAAGGCCGTCCAGGCCAGCTGCGAGGAGATCCACGAGTACCGGTGCCAGCTGCAGGCGTGCAGCATCGAGATTGGGGGCCTGTGTAGGGCCAAGGGGTCCTTGGAGAGGGACATCCTGGAGCTGGAGGAGCGGCTCAGTGCCCAAGTGGCTGGCTACCAGGATAGCACGGGGCAGCTGGAGAATGATCTGAGGAACACCAAGAGTGAGATGGCATGCCACCTTCGGGAATACCAGGACATTTCCGATGTCACAATGACTCTTGACATTGAGGTAGCAGCTTACAGGAAACTGCTGGAAGGTGAAGAGACACGTTTTAGCACCAGTGGGTTAAGCATTTTGGGGCTGAATCCACTTCCCAATCCGAGTTTTCTGCTCCCACCTAGAATCTTGAGTTCTACAACCTCCAGAGTCTCATCCTCTGGGCTATCACTTAAGAAACAGGAGGAGGAGGCATCTAAGGTAGCATCTAAGAAAACGGAGAAATTAAACAGAAGAAACCACCATTTCAACCCAAAAAAATATAGTGCCACTGCTTTGAAAGTTAATGCTTAAAAGGAAATGATATTCATTTGACTTGTGAAATAGCCTATTCCTAAACCATAACACCTGCCACCACTATAAAATGTCTTTAAGGCTTCAGTCTCATATTTAGTATTTAATATTTGCATTCTCTAATAAGAAACCACCCCTTAGATTAAAGTAAACTGCAGTCCTGAAGCAATCACAGATGAGTAATCTAAGAATACAGCTTTCTGACTTTCAGCTCAAGCTTCACAGTGATTGATGATTCAGGTGCAGAGGAAGTACACAAACTAAGATACTACATCTGTGATCATCGTCATTTGCTGTGAACTGACATTAAAACTGTTCATGTTACTCAGTCATTACCCGGCTAAATAATCTTACTCTAGATATCTAAAACATAAGATCACTGCCAAAGATAAACTAATGGTCCACACCCAATTCCACATATTATTAGTGAAATAGTTCTATAATTCCACTCTGATAGAACTATTTCACTAATAATGTGTTTGTTTAATGTACACCTTCTACCTCCCTCAATTCCATATATCCTTTTTTTTTTTTTTTTTTTTTTTTTTTTTTTTTTGAGACGGAGTTTCACTCGTTACCCAGGCTGGAGTGCAATGGCGCGATCTCAGCTCACCGCAACCTCCGCCTCATGGGTTCAGGCAATTCTCCTGCCTCAGCCTCCTGAGGAGCTGGGATTACAGGCACACGCCACCGTGCCCAGCTAATTTTTTGTATTTTTAGTAGAGACGGGGTTTCAACATGTTGACCAGGATGCTCTCGATCTCTTGACCTTGTGATCCACTTGCCTCGGCCATATATCCTTTTTTTCCATGCAGGAAAAAATTCTCTAGTGTAGTAGTCTTCCCTTTTAAACACATTTTGGTTTTTCTCAAAAGAATTTACCCCTGTTAGCTCTCTTTGCTCAGTGGGTAAAATTAGATGCGTGTTGACCATATCTGTGACTCATGTAATGACTCATCCCTGCCTATTTCATATTATTTCAATTCTGTAGGTTAAAAAAATGGCAGTGCTGAATTTTAAGGGTTTTCCCAAACAAAATAATGAAAAATATCCCTAGACTTTAGGCTTTTTGCTTGCACAAATCTATTTAATTAGGGGAAAAAGCTGTTAAGGATTTAGCTTTTCACCTTTACTTTAGAAGCACAGCAAATAGTTATCCCAAACTGTGATTATGCTAACCTTAGATTTAGTAGTATAGGCTACAAGTGATTTACTAGTGTAAGCTAGGAGAAGTCAGTGTTTCTATGAGTGGAAAAAGCCAAGGTGTCTTTTATGTGTCAGTTCATTTGTGGTGACATAGAATTAGCTTTCTCCTGCCCTTACTCCTTAGAATTCATGTATTCCCCTTCCCACTAGTCTAAGTGCTAATGAGTCCTTGCTTTCACCCTCCTATGCCTTTTATCAGTGCTAAGTGTTGGATATTTTTTGTGTTAGGCAGAATACAATGCTACTGTCCAAAAGTAAAAGAAACCACTTCTGGTCAATCAACCACAAGCAAATATAAAAAAAAGTAATCTTTCTCTTTTCTAAAGGAATTCCCCAACATTTACCCCATGGCTGCACAGTTGATGGGGCCCTGCTGGAGAGGAAGAGACATTCAGACCAGAGAAGGGGTGTGCATGTACCTACTTGCTTGTTAGAAGTAGATTCTGGCCAGTCAGCTCTTCATCTGCCCAAATGTGTAGCATCTGCATTGCCCAGTCTTTCACGTGTGCCAAGGGTGATGCAGGATTTGTTCTCTATCCAGCAGTCACTTCTGCCACAGCTGAAGAGTTGCTCTGTCTCTGTTCCACATCTCCTTTAAGAGCTCTGGTGAAAGGACATGATGCTTTTACTAAATTTTCTTTTCCTAGCACATGCTTCAATAGTTCAAGGAACTTCAAAGATACTTTTCTATTCTTCCTTACCTTTACTCCATCCCTGTCTTTACTCCTCACACTTACTGTAAGACATTAGTAAAATAAGAAATTAAAAGTAACACGAATCCCACAAAAAACACACACACACAAGAAAGGACTGGAGTTGTATGTCAACATCAGGAACCAGCAGGATTCACTTGTGGTCTCCCCTTCTCTCATGAGTAATATGTAGTTATAATTTAATTGCATACTGACCCCTGTCTTGTGTACTGATACACAAGGATTGTGTGCATTAGTGGTTTAAAACGGGACCTGGAGAAGTTTAAGGGAAAACTAAGAGAGGGGTGTGTATGTGTGTGTGTGTGTGTGTGTGTGTGTGTAAGAAAACAACAAAAATAACATGATATCTTCCCTCAATAAATTATAAAAAATATGATTCGGTGCTGTTAACTGTAAGTATACTATTGTACAGTAATCTCCAGCACTTAATGATTCTATGTCAGTGATACTTTTAACAATTCTCCATGTCTCTCTACTCACAGCATCTCAAAGAGATGTCTGCACTAACATGTTCATTTCAGTCATTATTCACACAAATCAAGATGTGGAAACAATTTAAATGTCAACCAACTGCTGAATGGATACAGAAAATGCTGTATATACATACAGTGGACTATTTTTTGGCCTTGAAAAAGGAAATCTTCTTGCTATAGACTGAATGTTTGTGTCATCCAAAATGTATATGCTTAAACCCTAATCGTCGGTGTGATGGTATTTGAAGACAGAGTCTTTGGAATGTGATTAGATGAAAACGGTTCCCTTCTAAGAGATAGGAGAGAGCTTGCTTTCTTTACCTCTCTGCCATGTAGAGATATATCAAGATGGTAGACTAGAAAGAGGACCCTCCCTAGAAACAATACCAGCCATTACCTTGATCTTGAACCTCATAGCCATTAGAACTCTGAGAAATAAATGCTGTTGTTTAAGCCATACAATTTATGATATCTTATTATAGTAGGCAGAACTAACTGAAATACCTACCATTTGTTACAACATGCATAAACCTGAACGACATTATGCTAAGTGAAACAAACTAGTCACAGGAGAACAAATATTGCATGAATCCACTTACATGATGTATCTAAAAGAGCTGAGAGTGTATAATTTCTACTGTGACTGATTTATCCAAAGTAAGTAATATTGAAATCATTTTGAAAATGCCTGGATTGGTTTAATTTACAAAGAAACAGTAAGCTAAATTACAATTATTGATAGATCATGTACATTCCATTCAAATAGGGCAGTAATATTATTGGCACTCCTAATTTGAGAAACAAAACTTTACAGTTTTTTTCTTTGTTTACTACAGATCTTAGCTATTTGAGGAGGAAAAAACAGCTTTATTCTTTGCAACAGATGCTTTGTTTTAATTCTAAGGCTGGGAGTCTATCTTTAGACTCTGGCATACTAGTGCAGGAAACAATTATCTGAAAATTGTTAAGATTACAGGAAAACAAAGTGGGGATAGGTTGGCTTGAGTCAAATGTTCTAACAGGATTAAATGACTGAGTACACTGATCCTTCTGTATTTAGGAAAATACTTTTATTTACCTGACTTACTATAGCTCCTCTTCAATGTCTAAATAATTCTTAATTTCTGATCTTGTCTTCTGCATGCCTTCCTCAGCTTCCCAGAAGTCTTGCATAGGTCCTACTGCTGATCCCACTGCAGGTCTTAGCCATTTTCTTCATCCTGACGGGACCTCATCCTGGATTTCTAAAGGTTGTTAAGTATGAAATGGTAAAGTAGATACTGGCATGGCTACTGACAAGTCTGATTTGAATTATATCCAGTTAACAAGTTTTGAAACCACACTGTACATC